TATTGACATCTTAACAAAATTGTCTTCCCAACCACGAACACAGAATGCCTCTCCATTTACTGGCATCTTTTAAAATTTCTTTCAGTAATGTTTTGTAATTTTCAGTGTACATGTCTTTTGCCCTCTTGGTTAATTGCTAAATGTTTTTTTTCTTTTTGATGTTGTTGTTGTTAATGTAACTGTTTTCTTAATTTCCTTTTTGGATTATTCATTGTTAATGTACTGAAATGCAACTTTTTAAATGTTGATTTTGTATCCTGCAACTTTGCTGAATTTATTTATGCATTCTCTGTGTAATCTTTAGGATTTTCTACAAATAAGATCATGTCACCTGCAAACAGATAATTTCATTTTTTCTTTGCCCATTTTGGATGCCTTTTATTTCTTTTTCTTGCCTAATTGCTCTGATTAGTCTTCCCGTACTTCCTATGTTGAATGAAATTGGTGAAAGCAGGTATCCTGTCTTGTTTCTGACTTTGGGGAAAAGCTTTTTGTGCTTCGCTATTGAGGATGATGGTTCTGTGCATTCTTCACATATGGCCTTTATTGCAATAAAGGGGTAGTTTCCTTCTATTCCTAGTTTGGTCGTGGGGTTTCATCATGAATAAGTCTTGAATTTTGTCAAATGCTTTTTCTCCATCAATTGAGATGATGGTGGTTTACCCCATCATTCTGCTAATGTGGTGTATTATGCTGACTGATTTTTCATAGGTTTAACCTTCCTAGCATTCCAGAGATAAAACTCACTTAGTCTTGGTGTATAATTTACTTTTTTTTTTTTTTGAGACATAGTCTCACTCTATTGCCCTGGCTAGAGTGAGTGCCGTGGCGTTAGCCTAGCTCACAGCAACCTCAAACTCCTGGGCTCAAGCGATCCTCCTGCCTCAGCCTCCTGAGTATCGGACTACAGGCATGCGCCACCATGCCGGCTAATTTTTTTCTATATATTTTTAGTTGTCCAGATTATTTCTTTCTATTTTTTTTTTAGTAGAGACGGGGTCTCACTCTTGCTCAGGCTGGTCTCGAACTCCTGAGCTCAAACAATCCGCCCGCCTTGGCCTCCCAGAGTGCTAGGATTACAGGCGTGAGCCACTGTGCCCGGCCTATAATTTACTTTTTAATATGCTGCTAAATATGGTTTGCAATTTATTTGAGGATTTTTACATCAATATTCATAAGGGACATTTGTAGGTTTTCTCATGGTGTCTTGATCTGGCTTTGATGTCAGTCATTTTTGCCTCATAGAACAAGTTCAGAAATGTAAAAAACTTTAGATAAATTAAACTTAACCATTTATTTGAACAGAACGTAATTCATGAATCAGGTAGCATTCAGTACCGAGAAAGGTTTATAGAGCTCCACTCAGCAACATAGGCAGTGAGCTGTTATAGCCTAAACATGGAAGTAGAGAAATAGCTTGATTGGTTACAGATAGGTGTTTGCCTTAGGCTGGCTGTGATTGGCTGAGACCTAGTTATCTGTTACAATAAAAACATTTCTAAATTAGGTTTTGGGCTTTTTTACATACTATGTTAGGTTGCAATTTGTTTCACAGGAACTCAAAGTCTGGAAACAGCATCAGGCCAATGGGCTGCTGTTTATTTAACAATTTCCCCCTTTTGGTCAGCCTTCTCAATTTTGAGTGACCAATAGCTTGATAATGGACTTGTTTGGTCTTGGTATGGAATTCATGTGTCACAATGTTAGGTCAGTTGAATGATTCTTGGTGTTTTTGCTGTTCTAAGTCAAAGTGAGACTATTTGACACATGATGTTTGGCTGCATACAGACATTTAAGACTCTTGAGAGGACAGAAGGCACCAGGGAGACTGTTATGATGACCAGCAGGAGGACAATACCAAGAGATGGAAATGTGCCCTTTAACAGGAGCCTCACCAAACAGAACCAGTCAAAGCCCAGGCAATGTAGACAGTTCAACAGTATCTGAGTCCAGTTGGTCATAGTCTTTGTTCAGGATGTGATGGAGATTAAGGACCATGGTTCACTGTAGAATGGTGTGATTTAAAGAGGTATCCATTTTGTCTTTAGCCTGGTGACACGAGTCATAGTAACCTGGTGACTCACTAGAAGAAACATAAAGATTAGAAAACCTTAGAAAAGCCAAGCTTACCATCCACCATTCAGGATGCCCAGAAGCCAACTGTTAGCTGTTCCCGTGGACACATCATGTGTTCCTTTTCCTTGACAAATTTCTTTGGTGTACTTAAAGAAACAGTGGTATCGGGCACCTTTTAAATTCAGCTTTCTGTAGTAGCAAAATCAGGAGAAAGCTAAGTACAACATTGTTTTGTTTAGCACCATGTACAAATCCCCAACATGGGCAAAGACAAGATCTAAAGCTGTGTGATGTCCCATTAAGTGCTTTTGTTGAAAACATTATGTTCTCATCGACCTTTTGGAGTGTGGCTTCTACCTGTCCGAACTCCTGGGAGGTCTGGTTGGCTACAAAAGCCAAGATTTTTCCCAATTTGTGGATTCATTTCAAATTTGATTGAATTGGCACACCCCACTACCATCAAGAGTGAACTCCACTGGAATCTTTCCTCAGTGGAAGGTAGTTTACCTTCATCTATTTCAAGGTTGGTGCTAATTTCAGGGTTGATCATTTTGGCCTTTGATTATGGGCAGTCTTATGAGGACCTTCAGGGGAAGGCAGGATTGAGCCAGGCCAAATAGCAAGATCCAAGGTAGGGAGGCAGAACAGAGTAATTAAGGAAATTCATCACAGACCAGGTCAGTTAAATCCTGCTAGCCCAAGAAAACCTCATAATTGTCTTTGGTGGTAGGCTGGAAAAGACTTGAAATAGTATTCTCTTAGATGATAGGGAAATTCCTTCAGCAGCAGTAGTCAAATTATATCTAGTGTACTGTTTCTCTTGAAAACTTTTCCCCTTAAAGTCTTATAACTTTTATGTGTGAGTTGCTATAAAGAGTAAATTGAGTACTCTTTAGTGGCAGAGCATAGCAACTGTTCACCTACATACTGAGTGAGAGTAGGATTTGAAGGAAACCACATTAAGTCTGACGTAATACCTCAGAAATATAAGAATGGGCTTCAGTGAACTCTTGTGGCATTACAGTCTAGTGTACTGTTGACTTTTCCAAGTAAAAGCAAACAAATATTAACTATTTTTGGTCTAGAATGCTAAAGAAGGCTGAGCAATGGACTATTTCAAACCAGCAGGCACATTACATAGTAAGGTATTAGGGTTTGGAACTATAGGAAACCTCAGTATCACATTGTAGGCCCACGTCCACATGATCTTCACAAAGTGAATTGTTCTCACCTCCATCCCTTGTGGCAAAGGGCTGTGTCCTGGCCCCCAAACCAATCCCCAGAGACTTCAGCTCATCCAGATAGGGAAGGGGTTTCATACTTCCTGAGTATGGAAATTAGAAAATGTACATTAGAGAAAGACGATTTCTATAAAAAACACAAAATGGGAGCCTGAAGAGTTGAGTCAGGGTCTGAAATGGCTGGAGTTATGACATTCCAGCCCCTTATGCTGCTATAATCACTTCCAGAAATGCATCCCTCATAAGGTGACCCCTTTCTCACTTTGCTTTTCCATTGTGAGCTCATCGAGGACAGCAGATGTGTGCATCTCCTCACCCAGCAGCCATGTCTTCCTTCTACTGTGCTCTCCTTGGTAGCTGTCACTTCCACCGAGGTCTCATCTGCCCCCAGACCTCCCTGTCCAGCAGCAGCCCTACCATCAAGACTGAAGACTTCAGTCCCCTTCACCAGGTGCACATCAGCTGCTGAGGGAAGTGGAGGCTCAGGAGCTTGGACAAAGGGTAAGTAAAATTTATACATGATGCATATTTTGCCTTGAGACTCCAAATAGGCCCAGTAAATGTTGGGCTTGCTTTAATTAATGTAGGTGATGCCAATTAGATAAGACATGAATTGTCCCTAGGCTGACCATTAAGATAATGCTCATAAGTTTTACCTAAGTAGTAGGGCCTTGAATCTTCTAGGGTACAGTGGTTCAACCCCAAATGGAAACTTCTATGATGGGTGTTTATACTCTGTATCCTTTGAGTTTCCTTGCAGGAGAATGTCAACAATATGCCCATTTCTGAATTCCCAAAACAAGTTGCATACAGTTATGTTGCCTGTAATGATTATGTACAAAGGCCTGCCATGATGTTGAGATACTCCCTGGGGAGGCTAATAAGGCATATTGTTTATCTTTATGTAATAAAAACATTTGCTTGGGGCTTCTGAATGTGTTCTAGTTTCTTCTTGCACATTTATATCTGTAATAAACTACTTCCTTGGCCTAGATGGGAATAGAGTGTGTTTTTCTCATTTAGATAACTTGTCACTGCCCACATAATAATGGGTATCTCATTTCTGCCACCACTCTGCCATGCCTGCTTAATCAAATTTCCATATACATCAGGCTTCTTTCCTATTTGTCTATTTTTAAATTTCTCTGCTAATGCTACACTGTCTGAATTTCTGTAGCATAAAATCTTTGAGGTATGTTAGTCTTGTTCTTCAGAAAACATTGACCGTTATCATTTCTACAACATTTGGTGAATGAATATCACTACATACATATTAGAATGGCTAAACTCCAAAACAGTGACAACACCAAATGCTTCCAAGGGTGTTGAGCAAAGGGACACTGTTTCATTTCTGTGGGAATTCAAATTGGTACACTTTAGAAGACAGTTGGTAATGTTACAAACCAAACATTCTCTTACAATTACAAGCTAGCAATAAGACTCCTTGGTATTTAATCTGAGAAGATGAAAACTTATGTCCACACCAAACCTATACATGAATATCCAGGCTATATAAAGAAATCATGAGAAGCCAATAAACAGATGAACTAAAAGTCAGAAAATAGCTAAAAGACCATATATGAAAATTGGTGAATCTCACAGTTGATTAGCAAAATCCAATATAAAACCACAGTGATCCCATTTCATTCAAACTAGAGACAAAAATTAATACATTAGGTAATTCCAATGCTGCCAATCATGGCGATAACTAAACACACGTGTAAGGATGGTGGGAGGGTCAATTCACACACTCCGTTGGGAATTTCTGGTAACCTTGAAGCTGCTCAAAATCTACAACCCAGCAAGCTTTCTCTAATGTGTAGAGAATTTATTTAGCATAGGCACTTACAAATTTAAAGTATGATTTGAGCAGCATTTTCCGTAAGAACAAAACAAAAAATCAAAACAATCTAAATCCTGTAAGTGGAATGGATGAGCAAATTGAGTGGCTCACACCTCAGATACCAGCATACTCCATAACACGGAAATCTGAATTTTAATTCACAGATTAGGCTGGGGGGCAAAAAAAAAAAGCAGCACAGCTCCAAGCACAAGCTCCTCAGCAAGCAGCAGCTCAAAGTGCATGCCAGACACAGGGCCCCAGATTGGGTTTGCAAGTCAGAGCAAGAGAAGACAGACCCACAGGGTGCCGGTCAATGTCTGGAAATCCTGTTCAGGGTGCCAACTGTTATGGCTGTGTGCAGAGACACGGTTACACAGGGTAAGAAATGATTACTCAAGGTCAGTGGGGAGAGTCGGGGTGGTCACTCAAGGGGGGTCTGACATGGCTTGGGAGAGCAAGAAAAGGAGCCTGGCTGGAAGTTGGGAGGGAAATTATTAGGGTGAGAATTCGCTCCCACAGGCAGGGGTTTGCTTGGTTTCGTTGTGTTACTAGTGCCAAAGGAGGGAACACCCAGGTTTCTTTTCACCTTATCCACATGTAGGGCCACAAACAGAAGGAAGGTTTAGGGTTAAAAGCTGTCAGCAATCATCAAAAAATGGGGACAGATACTTTTGGTTTCCAGTCTGGCAGGTAAGGATATAAAAGGTGACATTCACATCCACACACACCCACACACAAAGCAAACAAACTTAACTCTTCTAAAACCCATTAGAGAACTGAGTCCACAGGGCAAACCACTGTCCCAAACCGAGAGGGAGAGAGTGGCATTTCAAGAGAATCATAGCTTATCAGATCAAACTATCCTAAGAAACCTCTGAGGGCAGCAGTACAAGTAGAGAAACACCTAAACTGTAATTGGCAAGTTGCTGCATTTTTGGTAGTTAAAATCTCCAGGGTGCCCAGTCTTAGAAGTCCCTGTACCTTTGTGAATTTTACCTCCAGAAACACTGGCAGGTTTTCACAGTGAAGATTACAGAAAAATTGCTTCCTTAACAGCAGGGAAAGCAGCTGTTTTCAAATATGCCCAATTTTCTTAACGAGTCCCACCTTCAAAAGCCTAACAGATTTTATTAGAGTCAAAACTTTTGGGATAAAGGAAATATCCCCTTTAACCTTCCTGCCTCAACTGAGGGGTGAGGATGAGAGGTACTTACGAAAGTCACAACTCATGGACACAAGCTCCCTAAAAATGAGGTCACATCATAGGTCAACGGAATGCTTCCCCTAGCCCTACTCCTAATCACATCAGTAGCAGAATCTGTATCATAACAACAGCAGAACACAACTGTTTGCCTCAGACCTATTCTAAGAAGTCAAAGATATGCCAACAAATTGGAAAACTTTGATGAAGTAGGTGAATGTTTAGAAACACAAAGTACTGAGACTGAGGCATGAAGAAACTGAAAACTTGAATAGACCTACAGTTCCAGGAGATAAGTGTAATAATCAAAAACCCTCCAATAAATAAAAATCTAGGACCAGACAGTTTCACTGCTGAAATCTACCAAACATTTAAAGAAGAATTAATACCAGTCTCCCTCAAACTCTTCCAAAAAACTGAAGAGGAGGGAACACTTCCAAATTCATTCTATTAGGTCAAAATTACCCTGACACTAAAGACAGACACACCACAAGAAAGAAAACTGCAGACAGATGTCCTATATGAATATTGATGCAAAACTCTTCAATACTGCATTTTGCTGTTATTAGAAAGATTTGCATATTAAAAAGATAATACACCATGACCAAGTGAGATTCATCCCCAAAATGTAAGGATGGTTCAACATATGAAAAATGAGTGTAATATACCACATTATCAAAACGACTGAAACACCACAACCATCTCAATTGATGTTGAAAAAGCATTTGACAAAATACAAGACCCACTCATGATAAAAACACAGAACTAGGACCAGAAGGAAACTACCTCAATATAATACAGGCCATATGTACAAAACTCACAGAAACAATTATAATGTATGGTAAAACACAAAAAGCTTTTCTGGTAAGATCAGGAACAAAACAGGATACCTGCTTTAACCACTTTCTTCAACACAGTATTTGAAATCCTGAGGCAAGAGGATAGCTTGAGTCCAGGATTTTCTGTTTTGCAAAAGACACTCTTAAGAGAATGAAGAGAGACATTCTAAGACAAATCCTATGTCCATTTTAGTAATGGTGGACACATGGCACATGCATTTATCAAAACCCATGTAACTGTACAACACAAAGAGTGATCCCTAATGTAAAGTATGGACTTTAGTTAATAATAATACATTGCTTCATCAATCCTCATTATTATATAGTGTGATATATCGGTTCATCAATGTTAACAAATACACTACACAAACGTTAAAAACAGTGGAAACTACAAGCTGGAGAGAAGGAGTATATATGGGAACTCTGTACTATCTGGTCAATTTTTCGGAAAGCCTAAAACTGTTCTGAAAAATGTCTATTAAATCAAAAAGCAAATAAACTATTAATATTGTACAGAAGATTCAGAGCTGTGGGGGGAAAAACCCAATATTACATGAATAATAATATTTTTTATTAAAGCATATAAAAGTAAAGTACACTGACATAGGGCTACATACATCTGTTATAAAACTATTAAGAAAAGCAAGGAGATTATCTTATAATTCACAACACTGGCTCGATCTGGAGAGAAATGGCATGATTTGGCCTTTAGGAATCATTTCAAGTGGGTGAGTGGTGTGAAGGCTTCTTCCAAGTCTTCACCTGGTTATCACTATGAGGATGTTCCCTTTAGTGTTTCATTGACTGTGCAGTTGTTTTCTGTATGTTCTGCCTGTGTAATATTTGCTGTAACTTTCCAGAATGCAAATCTCAGTGCATTCTGAATTGCTAGCAACAAGCCGTTGAATGCAGATTTTTAAGAGATGACACAGCCTATTAAGACTAATTTCTGTGGAGTTCTAAAATATGTCTAATGAATGATAAAGACTGAACACTGCCATGATGTAAGCTCTGCCAAATAGATCTGGTGTTTTATTAAATTTCATGAAATTCACAACCAGGTTTTTTTGGGAGGGGGGACGAACTTCAGAAAAACTACCCTGAAAAACTGAAACAGAAGACAAATGCACCTAAAAATAGCCAAGATGTTGTACAGAACACTGTTAAGGAGTATTATGGCCTGAATATTTATGCATCCTC